TGTGGGGAAAAGGGACACTAACCCACTGTTGGCAGGAATGCAAACTGGTAAAGCCACTGTGGAAGTCAGTCTGGAGATTCCTCAGAAACCTGAATATAACCCTACCATTCAACCCAGCCATCCCACTCCTTGGAATTTACCCAAAGGAAATTAAATTGGGAAACAAAAAAATGACCTGCACCTTAATGTTTATTGCAGCTCAATTCACAATAGCTAAGACCTGGAATCAACCTAAATGCCCATCAACAGTAGACTGGATAAAGAAATTATGGGATATGTACTCTATAGAATACTATACAGCAGTAAAATACAATGAAATTTGGTCATTTGCAACAAAATGGAAGAATCTGGAAAACATTATGCTGAGTGAAATAAGCCAGTCCCAAAGGGACAAATATCATAGATTCTCCCTGATCGGTGACAACTAACTGAGCACCAAAAAGGAAACCTGTTAAAGTGAAATGAACACTATGAGAAACGGTGACTTGATCAGCCCTTGCCCTGACTGTTGATGAACAACTTAATACATTATCCCTCTTAATATTTTTTTGGTTTGTTCTACTTAATACTGTTGGTTGAATTCTGTAATTAATACACAGTTATTCTTAAGTGTTGAAACTTAACTGAATAGTGATCACTGTTAAATATGAGAGTGGGAATAAGAGAGGGAAGAGATGTGCAATTCTGGACATGCTCAAGCTGACTTACCTCAAACGGTAGAGTTAGAAACTTACCAGGGGATTCAAATTCAATCCCATCAAAGTGGCATGTACCAATGCCATCTCACTAGTCCCAGTGATCAATTTCAGTTCACAATTGATCACAATGATAGGACTAAGAACCAAAGGGATCACATAAACAAGAATAGTGTCTGCAAATACTAGCTGATAGAATCAAAAAGGGAGAGAACAATCCAACATGGGAAGTGAGATACACAGCAGACCCATAGAATGGCAGATGTCCTAAACAGCACTCTGGCCTTAGAATCAGCCCTTAAGGCATGCAGATCCGGCTGAAAAGACCATGAGAGTATTTCAGGCATGGAAAGCCAAGACACTCTGGGGAAAAAAAAAAAAAAAAAAAACAACCTAAATGAAAGATCTCCGCGAGTGAGATCCCAGTGGAAAGAACGGGTCATCAAAGAAGGAGGTACCTTTCTCTGAAGGGAGGAGAGAACTTCCACTTTGACCATGGCCTTGTCTAAATATGATCAGAGTCAGTGAACTCAGGGGGCTTCCATAGCCTTGGCAGCTCATGACAAGAGCCTAGGGTGATTACTGAGGTCATAAACAAGAGTGTCAATTTGTTAAGTCAACACCAGGAGTCACTGTGCACTTACTCCTCATGTAGGATCTTTGTACTTAGTGTGCTATACATTGAGATTTAATGCTATAACGAGTACTCAAACAGTATTTTTCACTTTATGTTTCTGTGTGGGAGCAAACTGTTGAAATCTTTACTTAATGTATGCTAAACTGATCTTCTGTATATAAAGAGAATTGAAAATGAATCTTGATGTGAACTGGAATTGGAGAGGGAGTGGGAAAGAGGAGGGTTGCGGGTGGGAGGGACATTAGGGGGGGGGGAAGCCATTGTAACCCAAAAGCTGTACTTTGGAAATTTATATTCATTAAATAAAAGTTAAAAAAAAAACTACATGTACTGTTCATGCTTTGTGTTTTAAGGAGTGGTTGGTCAAAGCACGGAACATGCTAGGCAAATTACATACACATTCCCTAAAATCATTTGCACCTCTCCTTTTATTTATTTTATTTTCTTCAATAGACTTGATATATGGTCTATCAGTAAATTCTCTTGGGAAAATATATGATGAAGTTAACATTTGGGGGTTTCCAAGAAATAAAAATAAACAGTTCTGGACTCTGTTATCATTGGCAAGGATTTTTTCCCATAAGGGAACAGGGATTGAATCTTAATCATTAAAATAGGCTCACTTTTTAATTTGTTCATTAAAAGGAGTGATCATAGAAACCTCTAAGAGACTTTTGCTGCTCTGTAAGGACTTTCCTGTATCCTTCCTTATAACATTGCATATAATTTCTTATGTGAAAAAATGTGTGTATTCTTTCAACTTCTTTTCTGAAATAATAAATATGTGATTTCTTCTTTATATATAGTTTAATTTTGATTAATATAAGGGGAATAGATTTTATGTATTTCATAGGTACAATTCTTAGACAGTAACCATACTTCCCTGCTTCTTTTTCCCTCCCTCAATCCCCCTCATTCATTATTTTCTTTAATTTTTGAAAAGACATAATTTCAATCAACTCTCTATTCATAGGCTTAAAGCACTACTAGTCATGATATTCAAAAAAAGAAAAAAAGTAGAAATACCACAGTTCCTCAAGGGATAAAAACAGCAATCAAATCTCAAGCTATTCAGTTCATTCTTTTACTTTTTTATTGTATGTTAACTACTACATATCAGAGAAAACACATGACATTTGTCTTTTGGGGACTAAGTGTATTGTTTTTCAGTTACCTCCATTTTGTTGCAAAATAAATTTTTTTCTAAATATAACAGCCTTTGGAGGCAAGATATTGTGGAAGTCTTTTTAATCTCCAAGTGTGTGACTTTGGTCATACCTCTGAGTGTATAACTTTTCATTTCTATATTAACAATCTGATTATACTATCAATTACTGACACCGGCATTTACTTTATACATCTGGATGTTGATTTTTGAGGTAACTGAAAACCTTACATAGACATAACCAAATTAACCTGGTTCTCCTTTCAGGTTCTCATCAAATATTAATGAGTTGTTTAATCCATAGTCAATAACCATCTTGGAATTCCTATCCATTTTCATCTACTTCACCCACTTCAAAACTTCATGACCAACTCTAGAGACCTCTAAGAGACCCTATAAGGGCTTTCCTGATTTGCTTTCTTATAGTATTTCATATAATTGCTTAAATTCAATTATGTGTGCATTTTTTACTTCTTCCCTGAAATAAGAATATTGGAAATCTGCATTCTCAGAAAACTATTCTGTATTGTGTGTATAGATGAAGATTAGATATAGTTAGTGTTTTTAAATTGAATATTTTCTCTTATGTTATGATATAATAATAATCTAATATTTTAGTACCATTCTTTGTGCAAACCAAAATCATATTATTTCTATTACTATTATTGTTATTACTGGGGCTTCCCATATATTGTGCATGATAAAGAAATATGATCCTGATTTGAAAATCTAAAATAAAATCTTATGTTGGATTTGAAATAGCTTATTGAATAAATATTGTAAGGTGGAGTAGAAGGTGTTGTACTTTGCAGAACACCCATTGTCATGAATGACACTGGAACTCTGATACCCATAAACATGGGTATCTTAATAACTTGTTGTTGGAGCCAGCATTGTGGCATAATGGATTAAGCCATTGCCTGCAATCCCAGCATCCCATATTGATGCCAGTTCAAGTCTTGGCTACTCCCTATCCAGTAACTTGCTAATGCAGCAGTGGAAGCTGGCCCATGTCCTTGGGCCCCTGCACCTACACGGAAGTCCTGGATAAAGCTTCTGGTTCCTGGCTTCAATCTGGCCCAGCTCTGGTCATGTGGCCAATTGGGGAGTGGATGAGTGGATGGAAGATCTTTCTATATCCATCTCTCCCTCTCTTTCTGTAACTCTGCCTTTCAAGTAAACAAAATATTTTTAAAAAATAATTAGTGGCTGCTTTACATCCTTGGCCCTTCAGAAATTCATAAAGAGCGTTAACATTTTTCATTTCCTTCTGATACTTGTGCATGTTTTTGTGGATGTCTATATGTAAGATTCTATGTCCCAGAAGAGAGTTAAAACCTTTCAATTGAAACACAAAATAAAGTACAAAAATAGTTTACAATTATCTGGAGACAAAATAGCACTTGTGAATATAACATATCCTCTAATAACTACTATACTTACCTCAACTCTTCCAACATGATTAGCCAATTTAGAATGACTCCATTGGTCAAAACAGTGTGTTGATGTCAGTGGCCAGGAAGAAGAGCTGTAAGAAAAGCAATCAAGGAAAGATGGAGACTAGTTGAGGCTGCACTGCAGAGAGTCAAGTGGCACCTTCTGTGTTCACATATTGTGTTGCAGAGACCATGAGAAGCGTTGCTTCTCCATCGTTATTCCCTCTCACATCATCCACCCCTCCCTAATTCAGTTACATTAGACTTATATCTTTGGAAAAGCCCCATACACTCACTGTATTTCTAAGAAGAATTTGCCATTTTGTGTGGAAAGGAAAACAGGTTTTTTGAGTATTTTATCCTTCAAAAGCTGAAATCCAAGAGTGATATAATCTATCCACACTGAGCTCTTCATTCTATGTGACTCCATCTTTTGTTTCTGCTACCTGATCAAGAGATGCTCTGGGAGCCAGTGCTGTGGCACAGCAGGTAAAGCCACTGCCTGCGAGGTTGCAATGCCATATGGGCACTAGTTCAAGTCCTGGCTGTTCCACTTGCCATCCAGCTCCCTGCTTATGCCTCTGGGAAAGCAATAAAGGATATCCCAAGTACTTGGGCCTCTGCACCCATGTGGGAGATCTGGAAGACAATCATGGCTCCTGGCTTTGGACAGGTCCAGCTCCAGCTGTTGTTGCCATTTGGGGAATGGACCATCGGAGGGAAAAATCTCTCTCTCTATTTCTCTGTAACTCTGAATTTCAAATAAATAATTAATCTTAAAAATTAAGAGAAATGCTTTGGAAAGCAACCTGGTCTGAGGTTCAAAATATCTTCATAAAAGTCCATATCCATTATCTATGGTTCCTATATTTGTCCCAAATACTATGAAATTAACATTTAATTATACCTTGACTCAAATATTATTAAACAGTAGGGACATTTTGTAGGACTAAAGATAGATTAATGATACATTAAATGATACATTAAAGAAGATTAAGCAGTGGCAAATATTGATAAAAAAAGGGAACATTTTTACCTGGATTATGTTATGCAATGCCTTTCCCACACATATGACATTATATTCCAACTTCAATACGTAATGGTTGGTCTCCTCCTTTAAATGTTTACATGGAACACTCTGAGATGTAATTATTCAACTTTTCAAACTAAATCTTAGCATGTATATCAATTGTAAGTTATTTTCTTATGACACCATTCAAGAAATGGAAAGAGAAATAATTCTTTGCTCTAGTACACAATACTCTACCCAGAACTGTTTCTTGGGTGTGGAAAACTTGGCATTCTCCAGTAGTGTCATGAAGGTCACTATTAGCTGTTTCTCTATTAAAATAACCTCTTCTAAGTTTCTAATACCCACACTTTTAGAGAGTACTTATTTGGCTCAGTTGCCTTACATTAAAAACAATCATGAACTTTTTTGCACTCAGACATCTCAAGAAACCATAAAAAGCCTTTAGAGATGGAATACATTGTCCTTCTCACCACATACAATGACAGATTTTCACATCCCTGATGTTCATGAAACATTTGTTGAACTCAATGTATCATTTTATCCCTCAACTGATATTTCATTGCATTTATTTGCTATATTACGAGTGAATCATGAAAAACATTGTTGCAGTAAGATTAAATTATACTCCTCCATCAGAATGCCTCTCTGAAACTGAAAGTTGACTGTGTTCTGTCCCTTACCTGGCAGAAGAGTCTCTAGATACTGCAAGTACCTTCATCTCCTTTGAACACAGCCTTCTTAATGAATAGTGGAAAAATTGTTCCTTTCTGGATTCCAGGGGGAATATTTAACATATAACAATGTAAAACAGTTTCATCTTAGAGAGTATTATTCCCTAAAGTTATTTTTTGTTAATTAGAAGTATCTCAAATGTAATAAATGTAACTTTTGTTTGTTTTTTTTTTTTTTCTATTTATCCCATGAGAGCAACAAGTTAGCCCTCTGCATAGTCAATAACAAGATAGAAAAGTTTGGGAGTGTTGGGTGCCTGAGATACACCTAACACACAAAGGAAAACGAGGAAAAATACAAATGAGTGATGAATAGAAATTTAGAAAATAAGGAGAAAAACAGTAGTGTCATTGGTATAAAAGTAGATCAAGAAAAAACTCATCAGAGTCCTTAGGTTGGTATTCTCTGTGACAGGAACAAATTTCTCTAGCGTTGTAATGCACTTGTAATTTATTTGAAAGTACAATCCAGGGAAGGCAATGTGATGTCAAAAGCAGAGTATCTATTCTGTGGGCTATAGGCCGTTCTCACCAGAGGCAGAGTATCTATTCTGTGGGCTATAGGCCGTTCTCACCAGAGACCCACAGATTCATAGCAAGTGATCTGCTGATTCATATGCATAGTGAGAATTGAATCTCAGAAGTTTTCGGATTTATTCTTATCTATTTTTACTAACTCAAACTGGCAAAAAAGCTATTTTTAGGAATAAATTTTATTAAAATAATTTTTATTTAACCAAATATTTAGTGAGTACAACTTAGATAATAGGATCCATATTTATCACTGAACATAAGTTACATCATTCAATTTAAGTAAGTGTTCTATGAGGTTGTTGCTAGCAGTCCACAAAGTAGAAACTTAAAATTCGCAGAAAATTAGCAGCTTTCCCAGGCTGCATATTTAGTAAATGTAGTGAAGGAGTCCATAACAAATGGCTGTCTTATTTTGTGTTTTTTACTCTCCCCAAATATTTGCTTTTCAATAACAAAAAATGAAAAACAGGCAGTACTAAGAAGTGATGATATTGAAATAACTTTTGACTAGTCAGTGTTCTATCTCAGGTTGAGGAGCTTAGAATTGTTTATAAGACAATGAAGAGGTTGAAATTCATGTAGCCAGAGGATGAACACTTGCAAATGCTAAGTAGATGTTTTTTTTTTTTTAATATTTATTGATGATTTTTTTTGACAGCAGAGTGGACAGTCAGAGAGAGAGAGAGAGAGAGAAAGGTCTTCCTTTTTGCTGTTGGTTCACCCTCCAATGGCCGCCGCGGTCAGTGTGCTGCGGCCGGCGCATCGCGCTGATCTGAAGCCAGGAGCCAAGTGCTTCTCCTGGTCTCCCATGCGGGTGCAGGGCCCAAGGACTTGGGCCATACTCCACTGCACTCCCGGGCCATAGCAGAGAGATGGCCTGGAAGAGGGGCAACTGGGAAAGAATCCGGCGCCCCGACTGGGACTAGAACCTGGTGTGCCGGCGCTGCAAGGCAGAGGATTAGCCTATTGAGCCACAGCGCCGGCCTATGATTTATTGATTATTTATTTGAAATGCAGAATTACAGAGAGGCAGAGACAGAGAGAGAGAGAGAGAGAGAGAGAGAGAGAGAGAGATCTTCCCTTCACTGGTTCACTCCCCAAATGGCCACAACTGCCAGAACTGGGCCAATCTAAAGCCAGGATCCAGGAGCTTCTTCTGGGCCTCCCACAGGCGCACAGGGGTCAAAGCACTTGGGCAATCTTCTACTGCTTTCCCAGGCCATTGCTGAGAGCTGAATTGGAAGTGGAGCAGCCGGGTGTGGAACTGGCACCCATATGGAATGCCGGCATTGCAGGCAGTGGCTTTACCTGCTCTGTCATAGCACTGGCCCCAGTTGTTTTTTAAAAGTATGACTTTCCAGTCAGTATTACAAAAGTCTATTTGGAAATTGTCACATGCAACTTTGAATCATGAGATTGGGTAAGATCATCCAACACAAATACTTAGAGAGATAAATGATCCAGCAAGGAAATGTAGTTACACAAACATTTGAAAGATTCTCTGAACGATCTTGTGAAACATGCTCAAAGAATCAGACAAAATCATGAAAGAATAGACACATGTAGTCTAAAGGACTAGACTTTTAGGGGCAGTGTGTGAATATTCTGCATGAGAAGATCCCATGAACACTAGTGTCTGAAGCTTCCAGAGATACAAGTGCTGATTGAAGCGGTCAATGGCCACAGAACTTTGAAGTAGAAGAACGTGCATACAAGCAGAAACCAGGAGAAAATTCATATTTTGTTCCTCAAAATTTAATAGATTCTGTAAATGGAACACCTACGGAGGATAGAAATCATGACTATTTTATTGTGAGCTACTAGCATACATTTATGTACACACATATGAGGGAACTTTAAAAGATTTATGGAAATGAAATTAAAAGACAATAGGCATTATTTGTGACATTTAGAAGACTATGCATGTATACTCACATATAATCATAGTATTTATAATTATATAGTATATGACCAAATCAATCATTTAGTAAGTGAATGAATAAAACAAAAGAATTCAAATTGAAAAATAAATTGACTAAATGCATAATTACCCTTTGTGCAAAAGTAGCTCTGTGATGGAACATGAAACAGCAATCTCTTTTCATTCTTTCTAAAGAACTCTAAGATCACTAATATAGAAGGCAGCATAAAGAAGTAACATCTAAATCTTGGAAAAACCAATTATTCCTCTAGGGACCCATTCTAAAAATGTAACCCTGTAGCACGCTCAACAGCACTGGGAGGCACCAAGTAGGGTACTGAAAATTGTTAGTTTGTCCTCATAAGAGTGTGTGTGATAATTTTCATGATGAGGAATCAAATGTTTATGAGTAAATGGACGCATTCACATTTAGTGGGACTTGTGTGATTTTGCTGAGAGGGCCAAAATGTCTGCAGGCACTTACAGCCTGCTTCGCAACAACAGATAAAGATGAGTTCTAAGAGCGGCCACCTGGAATAAGAGAGGGAGGAGATGGACAGTTCGGCACATGCTCACTTGGACTTACTCCTAATGGTAGAGCTAGAAACGTGCCACGGGATTCCAAAACCCAGTAAGATGGCATGTACCGATGCCATCTTACTAGTCAAAGTGATCAGTTTAACTTCATAATTGATCATAATGATAGGATTAAGTGTCAAAGGGATCACATAAACAAGACCAGTGTCTGCTAATACTAACTGATAGAATTAAAAAGGAGAGAACAATCCAACATGGGAAGTGGGATACACAGCAGACTCATAGAGTGGCAGATGTCCTTAACAGCACTCTGGCCCTCTGGCCTCAGAATCAGCACTTAAGGCATTCGGATCTGGTTAAAAAGCCCACGAGAGTTTTCAGGCATGGGAAGCCAAGACACTGTGGGAAAAAAAAATGACATAAATGAAACAACTCTGTGAGTGAGATCCCAGTGGAAAGAATGGGCCATCTAAGAAGGAGGTGCCTTTCTCTGAAGGGAGTAGAGAACTTCCACTTTGACTATGGCCTTATCTAAATAAGGTTGGAATTTGTGAACTCAAGAGGCTTCCATAGCCTTGGCAGCTCATGAAAAGAGGCTCAGGTGATTAGTGACATCATAAATACAAGTGTCAATTGTTAAATCAACAAAGGGAGTCACTGTGCACTTTCTCCCCACGTAGGATCTCTGTCCTTAATGTGTTGTACTATGCGAATTAAGGGTGAAACTAG